TGTACATTTTGGTTGACCCTATCCAGTATCATCTCTATAAAATTCTCATTGAGTACTTGTAGTATGTCTTCTTTTAAATTATTCTTGTGGGCTTCATTGGGTGCTTTGGCATAGTTTATCTTCATTTTGTTGGAGTCTGGATCTGAGTTTCTGTTCTCTTCATTCCCCTCTGGTTCCTGTACTAATTTTTTGCTGTGGGGAAACTGGTTTCCCTGTTTTTTCTGTCTTCCCGTCATTGTCCTTGGTGTTGTTACTGTCCCTGTACTGTGTGCAATTAAGTATTTTCTAGCTTGTAATAATAACAATGGTAATATTTAGAATGGAAGGGGTGAGCTGAGATGGAAAGCAAGAAGTTAAAGAAAAGGGGAAAACAAATATACAGACAAGAGGGAGAAAGCAGAACAAGGTATCAGACAAGAGAGTTTCAAAGGTATAAACAGGGAGTGTTAGTGTACTAATCGACAGTAAGCTGAACAGACATTAGAGAGACAGAGAGAAGATTGAAAATCAAAGATAAAAAAATAAAAAAATAAGTAAATGAAAGTAATATCTCTATATAAAAATGAATTAAAATAAAATGGAAAATAGAAAATTAAAACAAAAAACAAAAGAAACAAAAAAAAAAAACCAAAAAACTTCCAAGTTTATATGCAATGCAGTTTCAGTCTTAATAATTTGGGTGTCCGTCTCAATCTCCAGTCCTGGAGTTGGTGCCTCAGATGTTGTTCTGTAGTTGTCTCATCAAAGGGGATGCATAAAGTAGAACAAAACTACACACTCACACACACACACACACACACACACACACACACACACACACAAAGCCCCACCAAGTGTCCCCAGTTCAAATGCAATACAGTTTCAGTAAGTTTTTCGGCTTGCAGGTGTAATTCGGTTGTTCTCTCATCAAAGGTAGGGAGAAAAAGAAAAAAAAGCGTCTGGAGACAGTTCTGAGAGTGGTATCTGCAACTGTGGCTTGCCTGCCTGCTGCTCTCAGCCTGTAGCTGGCGGCATTATTTATGCAGATCTCTGGGGTGAGCTAGCACTCACCTGGTCCCACAGGCTTTGTTTGCTCAGAGTTCTCCTGTGCAGGAGCCTCTGCTACAGGCTTTCCCCTTTCCAAGCACTGGGAAAGGTGACACTGCCCCCGCATTGTCAGGCCTGTGTGTTTATTTACAGTTCATGTGGGAGGTGGGTCTTTCCCCCTCTTCTCTGAAGTTTTCCTCCCACTGCCACTTTCAGAAGCTTTCCTGCTCCTGCTTACTGGGCGGTGCTGCTGCTCCTGCCGGCCGCCATGTTTATTTACAGTTCACGTGGGAAGTGGGTCTTCCCTCCTCTCACAAGCTTTCCCACTCCTGGTTGCTGGGTGCGCACCCCACTCCCGCCAGAGCCTCTCCGGCCTGCCTGGCTTATTTATTTACAGTCCCGGGAAGGATTCCCTTCCCCCAATCTTCAGTGCTCAGGGCGCCCCACCCTCTTTCCAGCGTGTCTTAACTGTTCTTACTGCTTTTTACTCAGTTTCTCTTTTTTTTTTTTCCCGGGTGGAGGTCAGTCTGTCCAGGGGGCTATGCTGCTCTGGCCCAGGCTTGTCTGAGGGGTACTGCGGTACCGCGAAGCTCACCTGGTCCACGTCTTCCCAAGCCGTATGGTCGCCGGCCACTGGCGGCCCCAGGGGCCCTCCTCGTTTCTCCGTTTAATGTGGAGTGGAGATTCTCTGCACTGGCTGGAGGTGTGGAGGTGTCAAAGTTATGCCTTTTCTCGGTGATTATGCCTGCAAAGTGTGTCTCCAGCGTCTCTCCAAGAATTTCACTATAGGAGGCTCGCTTTCTGCTTCCTACCTCTAGCCAACATCTTGGAATCCTTCCTCAGTAGTTTTTAAATACATAAATTAATACATTGTTATTAGCTGGTCATCGTATAGTGCAGTAGATTTTTTTTTTATGGAATGCTTCACGAATTTGCATGTCGTCCTTGCATAGGGGACATGCTAATCTTCTCTGCATTGTTCCGATTGTAGTGTATGTGCTGCTGAAGTGAGCACCAATAGATCTCTAAAAGTTATTCTTCCAGTATAATTGAAGTTTTTTTCCCTTTGATTAACACTTCCCCTTTCTCCATTTCCCTCATCTCTCCCAGTTTCTCATAACCTTTGTTTCTACTCTTTGTTTTTATGACAGTGATTTTTTTGGGTTCCATATATAAATGAGATCATATGTATTTGTCTTTTAATGCCTGACTTATTTCAGTCAGTGTAGTTTTCTGTCATGAATGACAAAATTGCTTTCTTTTTAAAGGCTGTGTAGTGGAGTGGTGGTGTAGCTCAGAGCATATTCCTTACATGTGAGAACCTGGGTTCAACCTCAAGCACAGCAAAAAAGTGAAAAACAAAAAAAACCCAAATACAGTATAGTGTTCCATTGTGCATATATACCACATTTTCGTTATCCATTCATCCTTTCGTGGACTTTTAGGTTGCGTTCATATCTTGGCTATTGTGATTGATGAACATAGTACAGATATTCCTTCAACATACCAATTTCAATTCTTTTGGCTATCTACTTAAAAATGGAATTGCTGGCTCATATAATAGTTTTATTTTTAATTTTCTGAGGACTTCCTTACTAGTTTCAAAGTGGTTGTACTAATTTGTAATCCTACAAAAAGTATTCCCTTTTCCCTACTTCCTTGGCAACATTTGCTGTTATTTGCTTTTCATGTGTGTGTGTATGTGTCATGCTGGAGGTCGAACCTCACATATGTTAAGCAAGCACTCTGCCACTCTACTACTTCTTTGTGTGTATATATATCTATATCTATATATCTTGCAAAACGTGTAGAGATAAAAATTATGGTAAATGAGAGAGCATAGACACAAAAGGTCACATATTTTATAATTCCATCTATGAGAAATGTTCAGAATTGGCAAATCCATAGAGACAGCAAGGAAATTAGTGGTTGTCAGGGGCTGTGGGAGAGAGTGACTGCTTAATGGGAATGGGGTATCATTTGAGAGGGGGAAAGCAATGAAAATGTTCCGGAGCAAGACACACATGAGTTTGCACGACACTGTGAATATGCTATATGCCAGATAATTGTACACTTCCAAGTGGCAATATGGATCATATGTTCCATGACTTTTATCTCAGTTAAAAAGTTTTACCAGAATTTACGATGTTTCCCTGTCTCATCCTCAGACTTTTAACAACTTCTCAACATATTGAGCAAAACTTTAAACCATCTCAAATTATGGTTTTGTTTTGTTTTTGGGCAAGATAAACCAAAGGTCTGGGTAGCAGCGGAGTGGTCCCGAGAAGGGAGTCCCGCGAAAGATAGCTTCGTCCCTTCGGTGCTGGGGACCCGAGAGCATTGGGATGCTGTCTATGAGAGAGAGCTGCAGACTTTCCAAGAATATGGAGATACAGGAGAGATCTGGTTTGGGGAAGAGAGTATGAATTGACTAGTAAGATGGATGCACAAACACAAGATTCCATTGGATGCCTCAGTGCTTGATATTGGAACTGGAAATGGTGTTTTCCTGGTTGAACTTGCAAAATTTGGTTTCTCTAATATTACTGGAATTGATTATTCTCCTTCTGCAATTCAGTTTTCTGGAAGTATTATAGAGAAAGAGGGATTATCAAACCTTAAGTTGGAGGTAGAAGACTTTTTGAATCTTTCCACAAAGCTGTCTGGATTCATATTTGTATTGACAAAGGGACTTTTGATGCCATCAGCCTTAATCCTGACAATGCAGTTGAGAAGAGGAGGCAATATGTGAAATCTCTCTCCAGGGTGTTGGAAGTAAAAGGCTTCTTCCTAATAAACTCATGTAATTGGACCAAGGAAGAGTTGCTAAATGAATTCAGTGAAGATAAATGGCTACATGGTATTTAAACGCGTGTCTACCTTAGGTTTCTTGTAAAAAAAAACCCAAAGGTCTGTAATATTTAGGTAAGAGTACTTAATTCTTGTTTTAAAAAGTTGTTTCTAAACACTTGTCAGGATAAGATCATCACTGCTTTGCTTTATGGTCTAGGATGTGTAAAGTTCAATCATTTGTGTACTGGAAGAAGAGAAACAAATTATTGGCAATGGGAAAATAATATTCTTTCCTTGTTGAATACATTGGCTCACCTCTCACTGTATGGTATGGTTTCTAGCCCATCAGGTATTCTAAATATATCCTTGACTGCCCACTACAAGATATCCTTAGACTTGCTTATGTAGAAAAATATTTGTTTGAGGTCCTGACTATGTGACACTCTGGCCTGTCATTTGTCTGTTAGTTGGAAGGGAAGAAGCTAAATGAAGCCCATGTGGCTCACGCAAAGCCCAGATTTACTCAGTAACACTGTGGGGATTCTTACTATGACTTTGGCCCCAGAGCCCTGTATGTGTTCCCCACCCTGGTGAGATGGGCCAGATCACGTGTGACTAATATAAACTTTTCCCCCTGACCTAAGACTTAAGGCCTGATTGATCCCATGGGCAAAGTCAATTTTATAACTTACAGCTTAATATTTTTCTTTTCACAATGACTGAAGAAAATTTTAAGAGATATATTTTAATATATTTTTAATATATATATTGAATTAAATTGTGTGCACTGCTCTGACTTTTGAAACAATTGTCCTTTCTAATTCATATATGCTGCTGTGCGGCTATGTCATTTTTACTCTTTTATTTAAGCAAGTGAATATATTTCATTTACCTACCTATAGGAGTATGAATTTTTGAGGTATTCTAATTCACTTTGAACTAAGGCAGGACCAAAAACAGGTCCCAGGGATAAAAATCTCATTTTTCAATTACTTCTAAAGGGCATGGTGCAGACTGTGGTCCTCCCACCTGTCCCTTTCACACACACGCACACGCACACGCTCACACACGCACACGCTCACACACGCACACGCTCACACTCACGTGCACATCATGAGGAGGGTTCATCTTCTATGTCTGCCATCTTCAGTGAGAGGCCTTTTCCTTAGGAAAATCATTCCCTAATGCTTTGACTCAGATCTCCTCATCACAACCCATTGCAGAGCAGCCTTAACATCCTTGTTCCGAAGACTGTAGATGAGGGGATTCAACATGGGGGTCACCACGGCATAGAAGAGGACCACCACCTTGTCCTGCTCAGCAGAGGCCACAGAAAGTGGTTCCATGTGGGTGAAGAGGGCCATCCCATAAGACATGGAGACAACAGTGAGGTGTGAGGCACAGGTCCCAAAGGCTTTGCGGCGTCCCTGGGTGGAGCGGATCTTCAGGATGGCAGCCACAATGTGGGCATAGGACAGAGAGACCAGGCAACAGGGCGCCAGCAGTACCACTATGCTGGAGGCCACTATGACCACCTGGTTGAGGGTGATGTCCACACAGGCCAGCCTGACAAGTGCCAGTGTCTCACAGGCCACGTGGTTCAGCACATTGTGCCCACAGGTGGGCAGGCGCATGGTGACTGCCGTCTCCGCAGCAGCATTAGCTACACCCACAAGCCAAGACACACCTGCCAATGTCACACAGAGTCTTGGGCTCATCACTGCCATGTAGCGCAGGGGGTCACAGACAGCCACGTACCGGTCATAGGCCATTGCAGCCAGCAGCAGGAACTCAGTGCCTCCAAGGGCCAGAGCAAAGAAGTGCTGAGTCCCACATAGGGCGAAAGAAATGGTCTTCTTCTCCAGGAGGAAGTGTGCCAGCATCTGGGGGACCCCGCTGGAAGTGTAGCAGATGTCCACAAATGAGAGGTGGTAGAGGAAGAAGTACATAGGCAAGTGGAGTCTGGAGTCCAGCTGGATCAAGAGGATGATGAGCCCATTGCCCATTATGGTCACCAAGTAGGTGGCCCCAAACAGGACAGAGTCCAGTCTGGATCTGCTTGTCACTGGAGAGACCCATTAATACAAACTCACTCACCCAGGTCAGGTTGTCTCTCCTCATGGAGCAGGTGGTCAGGCAGCCAGGAGAGAGCAGTATTAAGGCAGGGAGGAACAAGTAAAGGGCTTTTTTTGACCCTTGAATTAGGTCCTAAGCTAGGATTGGAGCTGGAACTGTGACCCTGAGCCTGGTTCTTTGACCTACGTGGTTATGAAAGAGTGTAATAAAGACATTGGAGAAAGGAACACTGGCTTTTCATGTTAATGCATGAGATCCTGATTTGGGCATCCTTTTATGTCTAGGGTACTGAACAGTTTAATTGTATAGGAGGTAATCTCTCAATGTAGAAGAAAGATAGAAGAAAAAAGGGATGAGGACATGGAACAAAGTATGAAAAAGGAAATGAAAAATGAAAGTAAGAGAGAAAGAAAGATAAAGGAAGGTATAAAATGATACAGATAGGAAAGTATTTGGCAAGTAGGAAAGAAAGGAAGTATTCTTTATTGTGGGTAGCAACGGTTAAATGGAATAATTAGACATATGGGAACAGGTGGAATGGCATTCCTTGGTGTCATTTCCTAAGCCTGGACTCTGTTGCTCTTCTTGCTTTCCCAGAGCTGTAAATAAAAGAAATCATCTCAAAGCCTTTGCATTTCACCCATCTGTCCAAAGAAAGCTAAAGTCCTTCTGTGAATATATGTTAAGGCACTTCTCTGTGCTAGGAAGTGTGCTAGGCATTTTGTACCTACCTGTGAGCAAGAAAGATGGAAACATGGGTCCTGCTCTCTCTTGGGTCTTATAATTTAACTAGGGCACAGATCAATTTACTAATTACAAAAAATTAATTAAGTTTGTGGTAAGTGCTATTAAGAAGGGCAAAATCAGTATTTGACTAATTAATTTTGAAGTTTTGTAATTAAATTACCACTGTAGATATTCCTTCCCAATAATATGCAATTAATATAGTGAGTTGTAAGTATTATTTAGATGTTTAAATAAATGATTAAACAATAAAGTACTGACAGCATTTGCATAATAGTGACATGCACATTACTACTGCATATGAAATGATGTTTGTGCAAATCTCTGTAGCTAAACAGAGGACAAATGCAATATATCAACATTGTAACTGCCAGAGTGGATCCATGGCTCCAAAGACAAGAGAACTGAAAAGTATAATTCCATTTAGGTTTCTCCTGGCTGGAAAAGTGACTCCAGCCCTTCGTGGTAGAGGGAGAGGGAGTCGTTCAGCTATGGCTCTACAGTGGCCAGAAGGCGTCACTGTAGAAACCTCTAAGGGTAGAAACTGACTTTGACTTCTCATGTGTGACTCTAAGGCTTGAGCTCAGGAACTGGTGGATAAAATTCTGAGCAGTGCCAAGGAAGCCTGTGGCTGTACACAGAGCTGTCCCCTGAACCAGCAGAGGAAGTAGCTCCATTTGGATCTGCTGCCATTTAGACTCCTTGTTACTGCAGACAGATTCTTCACCTTCAGAGTTGGTGTGAACAATTAGGAGTCCTTCCGGGAAGCCAGTCAAAACTGCTAGAGATAAAAGTAACCACAGAGCTCTAGCTTTTCATCCCTTTCATTTTATAAACGAGAAATCCAAGGAGTTGGGTTAGGTAACTTGTCCATGTCTCACTGTCACTTCGGAACTAAGCTGGAACAAGACTAAAGACCGCACTGATGTTCTCAGCTCTCATCTATTCCATCAGTGAGAAGTTTTGGATAGAAGTGGTCTATGGAGGGAGGTGTCTGAGGAAGTATAGGTGGGAGCTCTGGACAGCTGGCTTGCCTTTTATAGAAGTGCTCTGGGTAGGAAACAAAACCTAGACGTGAAAGTATCTGTGCTCTGGTTTGCCACTTTGGCTAGCTTGCTCTGTACAAGTTATTTCCTATACCTGAGTTTCTTCATTTTAATTTTGTGAATAAAAATAGTGCCTATCTGTTAGTATTTTAAGTTAGATCAGATGAAAAAAATGAACATTAATGAGTTTTGTGAAAGTATTAAGCAAAACATAAGTGACTTGTCTCTATACTCAGCAAGTACACATCACTGAGGTCAGTTCTGTCCAGTGATATGAAGACAAGAAACAATATTAACAGGTGCTATAAAGGTCAGAAAGATAACAGAATGTGGATCATAAAGCTTCTTTGCAATAAATTCTATTATGTAAACCACCTAAGTACTAAAAACCTGCTTGAATAAATTAAACAATTAAGATAGTCATCTATATCCAGTGGATAAGTACCATGCTTTGCTTACAGCAGGCACTAACACCTTTTTATTCTAATAAAATTTTGATAGTGTTTTTAGGTGATGATAAACTATTTTTACTGATAGATAACCTTGTTCTCAGCTCTTTGGGTTAATTAGAGGTTTTATTCCACTGTTCTTATCTGTAAAATCATTTACTGAGGTAGTACCTGGCCTGGCGGCTGGTATTGGGGTTACAGGAGTGAATATGGTCAGGGCTCCCTCTCCGGAAGCTCAGCCTGGCAGGGAGGATAGAGAGGGTGGTTACTTGTCCTCATCAGAGAGTTTTCAGAGGAAGCTACAGTGTCACTGTGAAAATGAAAGACCTTGAGTTTACCTATGTGAACAGACAGGCAGATATATAGAAATTATAAAGTAAAAACAAAGAAAGAACCAGTGCCTTTGCCTCTTGAAGTTGTAGATGTGATTGAAGGTATATAGCAAGATAAAAATACATATGCCCTGTTTTTCAGCCTGAATTAAAAATCTGTCTAGAACTGGGGATATGGTTCAAGTGGTAGAGCACCAGCCTAGCAAGCACCAAAGTCCTGAGTTTAAAACTCAATACTATAAATAAATAAATAGGCCAGGTGCCAGTGGCTCATGCCTGTAATCCTAGCTACTCAGCAGGAGGAGGAGATCAGGAGGATCGCAGTTTGAAGCCAGCCCAGGCAAATAGTTCACGAGACACTATCTCAAAAAACCCATTACAAAAAAGGGCTGGTGGAGTGGCTCAAGGTGTAGACTCTGAGTTCTAGACCCAGTACTTCAAAAATAAATAAATAAATAAATAAATTTGTTTATGAATCATTTAGTAAATTGGATAAAATTTGAAGGCACAGTTTCTTCATCTGCATAATGAATGAGGGAGGTTTGGCCCACATTTAGATTTCTTCCAGCTCTAAAGACTTGCAATAAATGAATACATATAAATTGCAGTTTAGAGCACAAATGTTTTTGATCCCCTAAATATGCACAGCTAGTGATTACAGGCAAAGAGGTACTAAAGATTACTGCATTTCAGATTCAGATTGTACACGCAACTCTTTTGAGAGATAGCAGTAAATAAGACCAGTTGAAAACCAGAGATGAGGGAATTGAAGAAGGGGGCCATTCTAGTAGAAATGGGAAAACTATTTAGGTCAATGCTATAAAGCTTATAGTCATCTGATATATGAGCCTCCTTCCATAGTCCATCCCTGGTAATTCCTAGATTGAAATAACCACTAACACCAAGTTTTAATCAAGGATTAAGCCTGTTGTAATTCCACAGAAATTGTGTCTCTAGATGGTTGGGAATATTCACCATATTTTCTATTAAGAGAAGATGATGGGGCTCAGCATCTACTTTTAGATCTTCTACCAACCCAAGTCTTCACTTCTTCTTAACATCATCATAGTGCAAATACCCATCTCCTTCTTGATATGCTTTCTTTGGTTGTCTGCATATCTATCTTCATATTCTGAGCATTTCAGGTATACAGTTGATTAGATGACTGACCAGAAAGGAGGACTCTATGAAGTGGTTGAAAACAATGAGTGGTATCATCTAGGTCCTAGGAGAAAATTTGAATTTGTCCATCTAACCAGTTAGAAAAACACATTAGAGGATCCAAAGACAGTCCTGGTTGCTCCTAGAGGGTTAGGTTCTATTCTGTTACTACTATCTCTTCTTAACTTTCTCTGACTGGGGCTCACTAAGACTAAGTGCTCACCTCATGCACAACAGATCTCATTTTGGATGGGAGGAAGCACATCTGTTAGGAATTCATTGAAGCAGTTGTCCATCCTGTTCATAGGGTTGGAGGTTTTACTTTGTCAGTCTGAGCTGATAATTATTGAGAGCCTAGGAATCCCCAGAGAGCAATTACTTCTCTTGGTGTGATCTTTTACTCATTCTCCATACCCCTCCTACTTCTTTGAAACCCCAGCTCCTCCTTTTCTAAGTTCCCTATGGAATAAACATTCTGAAAGGGTTTTATCTCAACTTTTAATTGTCCTTCAAGTTTCTAGGCTAATGAGCCCTTTGACTTTTTGAGTCTTTCCACATTATGGCATTGCTGGAGGATTTTTCAGGAGTTAGGAGACAGGAATATTTATTTTTCTGGGATTGGAAATCATTGAAATGGTGAGGAGGAGCTAAATCTCAGAGACTGGTCTCTCTTCTAAGGGAAGAGGATGAAAACACCTTCCCCTTCCCCCCCCATATCTAGTGTTGGTGACCAGGGAGTGGAGAGTATGAACTGTATGGTAAAATAAAAAAACCCCCAAAGATATTGTGTAATCTATTGTCCAATATTAGGAAGATAAAGATTTCATTAACTGTAAGATTACTTGCTGACATGACAATGAATCAGAGGACTTCCATTTCATTTCATGCTTATTCCCAAAGGTAAACTTGGTTTTGGTATCCCATTATACCAAGGGCAAAAGAGAAGTGTTTGATACTGTTTTCCAGACTGCATACTGCTATCATGCAATAAAAATGTTTCCTTGCTAGCAAAAACTTATATCTTTCTTACTTTTCCAAATTGTAATATTACAGATGATATATAACCAGATGAAAAAAGTTGTTTGGAAGATGGAAAAATACATACATTTGTATGTCTATGGGGAACTAAACACAAAAAAGGAATCAGAAAGGTGACTATGAAATGCTAGTGGGTTATCTCTGGGTAATAAGATATAATTTTCATTTTTTAATTTTTTGCTTATCAATCAATATTTTAAAATATCTCTATCATCTATCTATCTATTTATCTACCATCTAGCTATCTATCTATGTATCTATCTATTTCTAGTATG